ATAACAAATGTAATCCCACATCATGTATAACCAGAAGAATGGGAAGTTGCACTCCATGTATGTATAATATGTTGTAATAATTCTACTGTCATATATAACTAAAAAGAATAAAAAACCCTTTTGTGCCTCAAAGGATACCATCAAGAGAGTGAAAGGTAACACAGAGAGATGGGAAAATATTTCTAGCTTCTACATTGGACTAATGACTGTTATCCAGAGTATATAAAAGACATCTAACTCCACAGTAAAAAGTGAAAACCCAATTACAATTACAAAAAGCAAAGAATTTCAATAGCTATTTCTCTGAAGAAGCCAGGCAAATGGACAATAAGCCCATGAAAAGATAGTTACCATCTTTAATCATCAAATAAATGGAAAGTAAAACCATAATAAGGTATTACTTCACATTCACCAGGTTAGCTATAATAAAAGACAATAACAGGTCTCGCTGGGTGTGGATCACACACCTGTGATCTCAGAGACCCAGGGTGCTGAGGCAGGAGGATCCCAAGTTCGAGGCTAGCCTCGGGAAATTAAGGCAAACTTGTTTCAAAATTAGAAAAAAAAAAGAAGGAAAGAAAAAGGGATGTAGCTCAGGGGTAAAATGCCTCTAAGTTCCAGTGCCTGCCCCCCAGCTGATAATTGGCCTCATCAAGATTGTGGGGAAATTGGCATCCTTAAACCCTGCAGTGTGGTTGAAAATGGTGCAGCCACTTTGAAAACCATTTTGGCAGTTCCTCAAAAGTGAAACATAGAATTACCATGTCATGCAGAAATTTTACACGTAGGAATATGCCCAAGGGAATTGACAGCATATATTTTTGAAAAAAACTTACACACAAAAGTTAATATCAGCATTATTTATATCACAATTCGTACCAGCCACACAAAAAAGAAAACAACCCAAATGCATATCAGCTGGTTAGTAGATAAAATGTGGCATAGGTGTGCACTGGAATATTATTTATCAATAGAGAGATGAAATCCTGATATGGCTACAACATGGATCAATCTTTATAATATTATTCTAAGTTAAAGAAGCCAGACACAAAAAGCCACGTATTGTATGATACCAGTTAGTTGAAATGTCTATAAAAATCAAATGTATAGGGGCAGAGGATAGAGAAGATATATAGTTTCATGGATATAGAGTTTCTTTTTGGATGAATGTATTCTGGAATTAGATATTAGTGATGATTGTCCAATATTGTGAATCAACTAGAAACTACTGAATGTTCAGTTTAAAAGGATGACTTTTATAATTGTGTGAATTATGGCTTTTTATTTTTAGTACTGGGGATTAAACCCAGGGGTCCTTAACCACTGGGCCACATCCCCAGTCCTGCTTTTTATTTTTATTTAGAGACAGGATCTTGCCAAGTTGCTTAGGACCCTGCTAAGTGGCTGAGGCTGGCTTTGAACTTGCAATCTTCTTGCCTCAGCCTCCGGAGCTGCTGGGATTACAGGCATGTACCCCCATCCACAGCAAAGCTATTTTTTAAAAAAGAAAGAAAAATCGACTCTTTGGAAGCAGAAATGAAAGGAAATGAGAAAAACCAGAAATCTGCAGTGTTAAGAAAGATGACTGCTCCTAGACCCCGATAGAAAGAGATAAAATCAGAATGATTTTGAGAAACAAAAAGCCATGGAAACTCAGGTTTAATGCCTTCCTATATGAATTTATTTTTTCCAAATAGTGTCAAAGAAGCTGTGATGGAGAAAGAAAGATGTGACGAAAAGAAAGCAAATAAACAAGAAATAACATAAGTAAGCCAAACAACATAAGAATTTTGTCTGGGAAAGAAATTTGGGTATATAATTACTGGCATGTAGAACCGACTGGAAGAAACCATCTCAGTTTATTGGTTTAGAAGAAGTTTATTAAGTTTTGGAGGAATGATATCCCCATAATAATCAGAGGCTGGATTCTCAAAAGAACAAACAAAACAGAACAATCCTCCAACACACACACACAAACAGAAACATGTTCTCAAGAGCCTTAAGACCACAGGTAAAGTGAGCACACAGGTGAACTGACCAAGGAGCGCCCAGTCGATAGTCCCAGGATGACAGGTAAAGGCAGAACAAGACCTTAACAAGGAACCACCACAGGAATGCTGGTGTTGGGGGACAAGGTGGCCTCCCTGTGCCTGCCCAGGTGGATTTCAGAACACAGAAGTCCGGTGACTGCCATTTGTCTCCTCTTACTTTCCTTTGCACGTGGTAGTTTCTGGTCAGATTGTCCATGCCCACACCACTGTTGGATGCTGGGTTGTTGAGAGCCACAACCAAGTCAAGATGGCGCCTGGCATTTTGCCAGAAGGAGTGGTTGAGAAGTAACGCCAGGGAGCCATTAAGATGATGATAATTAAGTTAAGCTGTGTATAATTATTAAGATAATGACTGATTCCTGTAACTGGATGATGCTAAATTGAAACAAGCTGTGTATTCAGTTGTGTATATAAACCTCTGCTGTCGGGCAATAAGGCGGCTCCTGCTACCTCGGGTGCCCGCTACTTTTGAGTTCTTGCGGAGTTCCCGTTGGTTCTTGTGGAGTTTTGGTTGAGTTCCGGTGGTGTTCCCATGGGGTTCTGGCAATAAAAGTAGTTCCTGTTTGAACCTAAAATAAATAAATCAATAAAGTCGTTCCTGTTTGAACCTACAAGTGGCTTGTGACCTCCCGGTTTGTTTTTGTGCCCAGCCAGACTGCGGCACTAGGCAACAGGAAGAATTGTTTCACCTGTTTGTTTTGTAGTTTGCTGAGCCTTCAGTTGTTCTAGGAAGGCATGATGAAGGGAATTCCACGTCACCCTGAGACCTTATGTTTTGGTCTAGCTGGAATCTGGCTCCCACCCCACCACCCCCTTGGGGAATTGTGTTCTGCTTCTGAGACAAGAGGAGTCAATAGACATTTCAGGACCAGAAGTGTGAACTATGGCAGAAGCTTATCGGGCTCACTGACATTTACGTTTTCCTCTTCTCTTTGGGAACACCAGTAACCTGTATTTCTGGACTTGATAAGGTAGATAGGGCCAGTGTGACCAGGTTCTACCCAAGCCATTGTGAACAGAAAGGACATATATCATTTTTGATTCCAAGTGGATAAATGCAGGGATGCATTCTCCATATTTAGTATATTTCCCTATTCTTGTGCCTGAATTCAGAGGAAAATAAGGCATTCAGAAGTTGCAAGAGCATATGAGGAAAGGAACCTGGGTCCCTTCATGATTGTTTGGAGCAAAGACCTTGCCAATCCACCCTGGACACCAGGAATAAACAACTTCTACTGAACTGAGCAACAGCAACAGGGACCGTTTGTTACTGCAGCTACCCTAGGCTAATACAAATAGCTTAATCAGAAGACATTGTTAAATGTTTTTATTAGTATGTATGGTTATACATAATAGTGGGGTTCGTTCTGACATAATCAGACGCACAAAGAGTATAATTTGCTCATTTCAGCCCCCAGTATTTCCTCTCTGTTCCTCTTCCTTTACTCTACTGGTCTTCCTTCAATTCATTGCTTTTTAAATTGGTGCTTTATAGATGAACTTTATAGATATGCTTTACAGATATAGAAAATGGTGGAGTTTGCTGTGATATATTCATACATGTGTGTAGTGTGACTTGGTCAATTTCATTTTGTAGAACAGACCCTCTACTATTTGCTTTTTTGGTTAGTTGGTTGTGGTACTAGAAGATGCTCACTTGGATGTGATGGTAAATCTCATTTATCACTTAAGCAAGAAGACATAGGGTAAAAAGACTTCTAAGTAAATGTTTTTCAAATAGTATAATTTTAAAGAATGTAATCAGGGAAAAAGAATCAAAGAATCTCCATGGCTTGAGTTTTACCAAATGCTGATAATATTTTCATTAGTTAATTTTCCAATCTAGGGAAAATATGTTTCTTTTTATAGCACCACGGGGCAATGTGCTTTGTCCCCAGTAACATAAGCTCCAATGTTCTATAACAGAGTAGGATGACTATAGTTTACATTAGAAATTATATATTTTAGGATAAACTGCAAGAGAGAGTTCAAAGTCCCCAAATATGAAAAAAAAACATAAGTTGAAATTCTAATCACCCTGACTTGATCATTATATATTGCACACATGCATTGAATCATCATACTGTATACCATAAATATGTACAATTATTATGCATCAATTAAAAATAAAAATTAAAAAAGTGTCAATCTTATGCCAGTATATACACACATATTGATGCCCTGTTAGTGTCTGTTTTGTTTCATTTCATGTCTCCTTATACTCTAGGAAGATGTGGGTGGGCTTAACAATCTCCATTTCCTGTGGTTTTCACTACAATATGTGTACAAAAGGTCTCTGCCTTGGGATTCCAGTGGACCAGCTTTTGCGTGTTGCTCTGTGAGGAGGCCAGGTCTGGTTGTGTGGGTGTTTGAATGAGGGGTGGCGGCGGGGAGTGAAGAATGTCCCTAGGAGATGGTAGTGTCCCTGGAAGGTACCATGGGTTCTCCTTATCCCCTTTCTGGCACAGAAGGGGCACTCAGAGAACAGAGAGGATGGACTGAGATAACAAGAGTGGAATTTTGGGTTCCCCAGAAGAAATAAACGAGGAGGAGCAGACTCATACGCAGCCACCAAGTTCCTTGAAATAAATAGGAGTTGTTTGAAGAAGTCAGATTTGGAGGTAGGGCACTCGGGGTGAGAGTGCCTGTCACCTGACGCACAGGCACCCCTGGCTCAGCTGGGACAAGTACTAACCGAACTCCAGTGTGACTCACTGAGCAGCAGGGGGAGAGCCCAAAGCAGCAGCCTTTGTGTGGCACGGGACGATGTTCCTCCCTCAGGCTCAGCGGTGAGGACCTCCCACGCGCCCAGCGCCCAGCGTCAGGAGTGATGCCTTCTGAACAAAGCCCCGCTCTCCCCTCCTGCTTCCACACACAACTCCCACTTCATGAGGAAAAGGAAAGAAGAGCAGTCAGACAATGACGCACACAGTCAGGAGAGGGATGAAGGGACTTTAATGGGGACAATGACAGAACTGGTTCACCTGTTTTCCCCTTAAGTCCCTCTTCAGACAAATTCTGAGCAGCTAAACCCAGCTCAGGTGCCAAGCTCCCCCATCCCTTGCCTAATTCAGAGGCTTAGATGCCCCAAAGTTTAGGAAGGAAAGCTTCCTAGCCCATGCTTTGGGTTGCGAATCAGAGAGGGACTGTGACTTAGGTGATACAGCACGGCGTATATACGATGGGCGGAACTTGAAAGCCAGAATGGGAAAGGGGTTCAGCATCTGGTGGTGGGCTCCTCAGAGGCGTGCCTGTGACCATGTTACTTCTGCTTTGTCTTCAGTTGAGCTGGCACTGGAGTGACCGTTGAGGGGCAGGGCTCTGGCACCTTGGGGTGGCATGGCTCAGGAGCCTTGGGGTGGCAGGGCTCAGGCACCTTGGGGTGGCAGGGCTCAGGCGCCTTGGGGTGGCAGGGCTCAGGCGCCTTGGGGTGGCAGGGCTCAGGCACCTTGGGGTGGCAGGGCTCCTTGGTTTTGGGAACACAGGGTTCCTGGGGTGGAGGCTGGCAAGGTTGCTTCACCTGCTGCTGGTGCAGCTGAGGGGGTGGGGCGCAGGGCTGCTTCTGCTGCTGGGAACTCATGCTTCAGTGAAGGCTGGGCCTGGAGACAGAACAGAAGATGAGAGCAGGAAATAACTCAGAAACCATCCCTTAAGAAGCACAGGTTCTTCTTTCTCTCTTTGCCCAACAAAGAATACTTGGATGGTTTCTGAGTCTTTGGAGGAGGGACTCAAAAGCACTGAGCTGGGCTTTCCTGCTGCACACCTTAAAGCTCATTAGCCGCACAGCCCAGCTCAGCAGAGGCTCCCGCCGGCAGAGTGAGACTCAGAAATGTGACGTTATCAGAGAGAGAGACAAAGCCAACCCACCTACTCATAATTAGAATGGCTCGCCACCTTTAGGGCCACTCTGACCTCTCCTGAACGCCACATGATCACACTTGTCTCTTGGCTCCCAGACACTTCTGCCTCAAGTGCTTTCAAATACTACACCACCACTGCACATCACCTCCGATGGACTTCTGGGGAATTTTCTAGAGCAAGCCCTCCAGAAATTTCTATTTCCTCCAACTGTTATAGCACTTTGCCCTCATCAACAGACACTGATAACTTCCTGCTTGGGCTTTAGTTCTTATTCTCCTGAATAAAATGTAGTTTATGAAGTGAATTCCCTGTTGCCTCAATTATTTTTTAGCAGCCTAAATGCCAAATATAATAAGTTTTTAAAAATATTTGTTGATATTTTAATTTTGGTTACTAACACCATATGATAACAAGACTGTGGAGGAATTAAATTTTCATACATTGCTGGTGAGAAGGTAAAATGATGCAATCACTTTGGGAAAGAGCTTGAATTATACATTTAAAATTGGTGAATTCATATTGTATGTAATTTATACACTGTTAAAGCTGAATTTTAAAAATCAACTGTTATAACAACATTTTTAAATGAGTAAAATGCAATTCTGATAATGAAAATATTTATTGAGAGAATAAAGATCCGAGGTATTAAAATGATGACTAAAGAAAGAATTATGCCAACCGAGGTGCTGTAGACCCGGTTCCAGTTTTTAATGTGCTACTCTACTCGGTCCTTGGACCTGTTAATCCCCTTCTTACTAACACATGGAGATCAGATGGGGCAGAACCAATGACACTAAAGTCCCTTCAAGTCCAAATCATGATCACTTTTAAAACAAAGCTCTGGCTGGAGTCTGTAATTCAGCTGGACAGACTGCATGACCATGATCAGCTTTCAGTAGAGGGCAGAGAGAAGACATCAGAAATGTCAACGCAGTTCAATCAAATCAAATGCCTAGAGAGAATGATCAAAAGTTCCAAGAGACTCACCTGGGGTGTGCAGAGAAGAACAGGCAGTATGGTCAGCGGGATCTGAGGCGGTGCCCTCCACCAACTGGCTTTTTATGCAGGGAACATGCCCTGCCTCAAGGAAATGGGATCTTTGGGGCTACCCTGTCTTCCTCTCTTACCTGTCAGGCATGATTCACCCAGTTGCTGCATCCACCTGTTGGCTCAGCTTTTGTGATGAAACTACCAATGTGACCTGTTTTTTTTTTTTTTTTTCCTGGGCATTTGCTGTCAGTCACCTGAACTTTAACCTTGACAGTAACCTTTGTACTCAGGTCTGGGGTTTATAGGGAGGGTGGGTGGCATCAGCTGAAAGAATGTGAAGAAAAGGGCTCTGGGGATGTTGGAGGAGGAAACAGTCCTGTCCTCTGGAAGATGCTAATTCTTAACAAGGGCGAGGCTAGTTGAGTGGCTTAATGTGGAAATAATCATATGTTGCTTGGAGGCCATCAGCACGGTGGCTTGGGCTGCCCCAAGTGGAAAGAGTGGTGACTGTTCATTCATCACTTAGATCACTCAAGCCTGGGAGGGAAAGGAAAAGTTAAAATGATCATTTTGGCTCTGTTGAGGTTTCTCTCCCCAAAGAGACTCAAAAGACAGTAGAAGAGCAGAGGGGCTCCCACCAGGGACGGGGAGAGCCGGCAGTGAAAAGACGGCAGGACAGACCGACTCTCAGCTCCAAAGCAGCCTGGTCTTTCCAATCCAGCCACCGGTTCTATCTCATGTGACAGCAGGCCCTGAAGACCCTGCCTCTCGTGGGGATCCCTTCTCCAGGTGCAATGCAGCAACAGGAGCTGGGATGCCCTGAGCCCTCAAACCAACGCTGATTTTGCTTGAGACAGGATAAAACTGAGGCCATTGATCTAGGTCCACCTGCAATACCCGCCCTGAAATCGGGCCCATCTTTGGAGAATCCAAAGCACCCTTCAGCCCTGGGTGTTGCATGGCCCCGCTCACCTAAATGTTTCTTGGACTTGCTGGATAACTGTCCTTGATACTTCTTGGACATCCTCAGATTCTCTGTGTCCTGTCTTTTATCCACACACTATGATGTGGTCCTTCCCATGTGGGCTTGGATGGGCTTTGTACAGGGACCTGCAGGACCATGCTGAGTGCCTCTCCCTTCCTGATCCAGGGCTTCTATGATACTGCAAGTGCAGGGCACCGTGAAACACAGCATGCTCTTGTGTGTCCAACCCAGAAGTGTGAGACAGTCACTGCACGTGGGCCCAGACTTGACAAATGATGGTAATGTGGGGGGGGGGGAGTGAGAGACATCTATGGATAAATACCTACCTTCATTCCAGGGCAAACAGTTTCAAGACCATTTCCTAATGATCCTTAAAAAGTCCCATGGACTCAGCCATCCATTGTTCTTGGTGATGAGCAAAAGAATGTCTCCTTGAACAGTCATTCCTTCCTGCTCATTTTCCCTTTGTAATGACTTCTCTTCCCTGCGGTTCACTGCCCATATGAACTCCCTGCTCAGGAAGTTAAATGTCAGGCACAAGTTATTAAAGAAGCCAGGTTAAGACAATTATGAAACAAGAAAATTACATATCAACAATATTATCTTGAGGACAAAAATCAATGCCCAGAGCATAGAAAGTCAAATGAATCACTGTAAATTTGGAAGTGATCAAAATTTCTTCTTCTGAGATGCTAAAAAAGGTTGGCATGGCTGATGGTTTGGTCTTCTCTCAGCTCACTCTTGGAATGTTGCATGGCAGTAAGTTCGAGAAGGAAGCCTTCTTTGTGAAATTTCATCTCAGGGAAATCAGGGTCTGAAGCCTGGAGAAGATAGGACATCCTCTCACTCTGGCAGGCTTTCAAGAGCATTTGATGGAGCGCCTCGAAATGGAAGGTCCGTTTGCCTCCATCTGTGGGGCTTTGGCCCTACCAGCTTCTAAGGCTCCTCTAGATGTGGAAAACACACTGCTGCTGCTGTTGATCAGACAGAAGCGTCTTCAGAGGAAAACACCTGGGCAGACGACGAGTCACTGTGGAGGGTGATGTGGGGGAGACAGCAACACAGTGGTGGTGGGAACCGTGAAGGGTGCTGAGCCCTGGGAGAGTGTGTGTCCAGCCAGTGGGAAGGACCTGCCACGGGATACACAGCAAGGTTCCAGGAGGTGGCAGGCAAGGCTACTGAGAGCAGAGCATCTCTCCTGGTACTCAGCAACGTCTGGGAGAAAGAGGTGGCTGTGTTAATAAGCTCTCTCCTTCAGGGAGAGACGGAAACGCTCATCTGATAAGCCAGGGCAACGCTTGTCCAACGCAGGAGGATGGTTTTCTCACACCTAAAACCACCATTGAGACTAGGGGGTTGTTTTCCCTCCCTTCCCATTTTCTTACCAGAATTTGTGTTTTCTTATGAAGACACTCCCTTCCTATACCCAAATAAAATGCATATTTTCTTATGTAGCAAAAAAACCTTAGAGCACGAAGGGAAAAATAAATTAAGGAAGGAAGTCCAGATTTGTGAAATTGTGATCACAAGAATTCTTTCTTTTCCTTTTCTACTGTGAAGTTGATTTTAACGAAGCAGCCTCTGCCAATGAGGGAAGAGCTTCTCCCCGACAATATCCACATTTAGTTCACTCTTCTTTGGAATCTATAAGGGGGATTTCTTTCTCAAACGGAGACTGTCTTGTTCTCATTCTTTTTCATTTTAATGCCATCTAACTTTTTATTCCATGAGGATTTCAAAATAATCTCCTGTAAAACACAGCAAAATCATAGCCTGTAATTTATTTCATTGTTTTTTACTGGTGCATTATGACTATACGTGGGTGTGGGATTCATTATGCCATATTCCTACATGCACACTGCAAAATTTGATCAGTTTCACTCTCAGTAACTTCCTTGTCCTGATTGGCTTGCTCTACTCATTATTATTTGACATTCTCTCTGTCATCGTTATTCTAATTAGTGCATTATAATCATATGTAAAATCATATATATCATATACATTATACCTATAAAATCAGATATGTGTATATTTGTTCATATTTTATACAATCTGATATATAGCTCTTCCAGCTTTGGGAAACACACTGGATTTGCATTATGCACAATTGATATGTGATGCATCGTGGTATGCTCTCACATAGACATAGTATACTTTGGTAGACTTCATTCCCAGCACTTTCCCATACACATATCATGTAATATCTATATCTCCTCCCTCCCACATGAGAAAAAACACAGAAACAGCAAACGTTCATCTGCTTTTACCTTCCAAACACTATTTGGTCACTCCAAAATAGACTGACTCTCAGAATTCAGGCTCAGCCCTGGGGGGACTGCGGCAGCCCCTGTGGTGAGAGGTGGACAGCTCAAGGTGGAGCAGGGTCAGTTACTTCTCAAGCTAAATGCAAGTCATCTAGGATGACAAGCCAAGGAGTGTCAGGTAATGACATGTCCCGGAACCTCCCTCCTGGAGTGTGCGCTCAGCAGGGAGGCCCTCCCTAGCCTTGTCTTTACCAGGGATTACAGGTGACAATGGAAAATTCTGAGCACCTTCTGGCTTGATAGAAAAGGAACTCTTTCTATTTGTCTAATTGACAACGGAAGGCCTGCAGTGTATCAGGGTATTCTAGACTCTTGAGGTGTGTCAGTGAACAACCACAAAGGTCTATGACCTTATGAAGCCCACATTCTAGAGGGGAGGATGGAAATAAGTAATCCGTAAACATGAAGATCATGTAGATTATGCATTAAACGTGATGGAAAAGGAATAGTATAGGCAATTAGGAGCACCACGAAGGTGAGGGTAGTGGTTGTAGGTCCTCTTTGAGATGAGGAAGACTGGAAGAAAGTGAAGGGTTAGCTACTAAGACATCGGAGGGAAGAGCATTCCAGGTAGGAGAATGTCTGATGCAAATGCTGGGGGCTGCCTGGAATGTTCTGGAAAGCATACGTGGGCAAGGGGCAAGGGCTGAAGGAGAGCAGGTTTGTCTTCTGCTTTTACCCTCTGCTGCCCGCCATCCTTAGGACATGCGGGCGTGTCCTTAGGACAAGTCCTTCCGCAGACCCTGTGGGCTCCACAGTGTGCAGAAGTAATTAGCTCAGAGGACAGGTCCCAAATGTTACTTGTATTCCTTGGACCTTCCTGTTTGCCAGAGTTTTACTTTACAAAGGAAGAGTTACTTATTTGAGAGTGAATTAGATTCACATATAAAAGAAGGGCCATGCATTCCTTCTTGGTCCAGCAAACTACAAAATAAAGAGGCCAGTCTTTTCTACCCTGCCACAACCTAATTTGCCACAGTGGGGCAGGGACTGGACAGCATCATTAGAAATGGAAGGAAGGAGGAGAGCTAGAATCTGGGCCGTAGGAATTCTGAAATCCTCTACACAGGCGAGCTGAATCTACCCTCCTGACAGGGATGACAGAGATTCTTTCATATAACACCGACTTGTTCTCTGACAGGTGGTCTCGGTGTCTGGGAGATATTCTTTCTCATTAACCTGTCCTGAAGTGGGTTGGATGCCCTCTTCGTGTGGTAACAAGACCCCGGAGTGATTCTGGTGAAAATCCTTTTAAAATAAATCTAATTAACATTGTACTATGAGTATGTGAAGTTACGGTGAAAATAAGGTCGCCAATACAAAAGTAACTGAATGTTGGGGAAAACGCACCCTCGACCACAAGCCGTGTGACACCTGTTGGATCTTGTTTATTGTTACACGAGCCCGTAAAGGTACTTAGAGATTTCCCACCTAAAATCCCGGCCCAGAGCCCACCACAGTCCTCTTCTTTGGCATTTCAGCCAAGGGGGTGACCCCATTCCCCTCGCCTCGTGTGCTGCGGATTAGAGACACATGTGTGAGGGCACTGGCTCTGTGTGGGTCTGGAACCGAGGACGCTCCCACTACTGGACACCAGCCTGCCTTCCGCTCCACTTTTTCCCTAGCACCTCTTTAGATGTTAGGCCAAGTTAGAACATTCAGCAAACATGTTTTTGTTATTTAAACAGCACTATTCGCCCAGGAAACTCGTAGTGATAAAAGAAGTCTCTGGAAAGGGGCAGAGAGTTGATGAGTATGGACTACTGGTGACTTCCTTTGACAAGTATGGACGGAGTCAAGAAGGA